ACATATACCGAACCAAACCAAAAACCGTGACCACAAAACCGTGAACCGAACCAAACCGTGGATTTTGTAAACCGTTGCACCCCTATTACAGGCTAGACATTGTTTCAAATTTGAAATAAATCAATAAAAGCTTTAATATAGTTATGCATTTTATATGAGAAACAACAGCTAATAACGATAGTAGCAAAGTTGTACTCCACCTAGGCCTATGAAAACCTTATTCACTGAAAAATAATAATGCCTCTGTGTTATAGATTCTGAGAGGCCTTGCAGCAAAAAATACTGCAAGCTAAAAGAGCGTAGTGGCTAAAGAAAGCGAGGTAGGAGAGCAAAATAGGTTAGGCGCCATTGGAGCACGGGAGTCAGAATTACGTCCAAGAGCAAATGTATAAAAATAGACCGGAGGAAAAAAAAAAAAAAAAAAATGAATTAATACTCTTGTGGATGTGTCGATGCATTGGATTCGTTGGCTGTTGGTTCTATGCATCGATACAAGACGATTATCATTTACACCCCTAAACTGTCATACATCTTCAAGGTTCCTATTCTGTTTTTAATTGAAGTACTTAAAAATAGATAGAAAGTGCTCATGAGGTAGTGTTCCGAACTTTAAATGTGAAGTTAAGAGCATTAACAGTGGCTGATTACCAGGCCTTTGCAGATGGAGACAAGACTGGTGGATAAGATTGGTTTCACATTCAAATATCTGCTGTTTAAATTTAAGGGAATCTGGGCAAACCAGCTGATCAGTGCACTGGAGTGATTCAATTCTACTGTTAAATAGTCAGCAATGAATATGACACTCATGCTAGTAATAAAAGGTGTATGCTAATTACTGACGAGAACTGGACTCCAGGTTTGGTTGTTTCCTTCTAGCTCTGCTTAATAGTTCCATAGAAATTCAGGTTATGCCGGCAAACCACAACTGCAGCCTTCTTTCACTGAATCAGTTATTCATAGGAAAACTATGTAACATTTCCTGAATTACTTACAAAAAAGCCTTCATGTTGATAAGTTCTTTGTCTGTGCTGTACGGTGCTTTTTCAGCACTGAAAACCAACCAACGATTCTTTCTGTTTGCCCATTAACAGCTTTTCTCTAGGGTCTGCTGTGATTGATATTATATTCCATTAACGGCCATTGTAACAAATCGTACAGCACAGATAAGCAACCACAGTCTCAAACACGGTGATCTCAGAAATAAGTTGGTGCTGTTATCGGAATGCATTTGTGTAGGTGGAACACTGTAAAATGCAGCCCAGCAGCTCTGGTGCTTTGATCTGCTGAGGCCAGGCGTCTCCAAAGACTGGCTATGCACGTTAGCACAGAAATGACACATCAACTCATCTATATTTAACCCAATGAATCTCCTTCCAATGTTCCAAAGCTTTCAGAGGAAGTTGCCAGGGATTGTAGTGAGAAAAAACAAGCTGAGGTGATATGTAATTACGCTGAATTGATTCATCCTCCTACGTCCCTTCAGTGTTCCCACACACTCTGAGATAATGAAACACGAGGCATCTTTTTTTTTTCCCCTGCTTGTAATGAACACTTTAAGTTTAGATACTCCTATTTATAGAGTCGAAGGGAACCCTTAACAGGTTGACTCGAAACCTGCAAAGTCACACAGCGTAAACATAGGTGACTCCTACGTGGGCGGTAATCTTAATCTGATAAGGGCTTCTCTCGGTTTCTTCAGAGGATGGGCTGCAAAGAATCCTAAATCTGCGTCTGTCCAAGAAGCCACAGCAGATAGGCATCAACATGGGCACCAAAATAAGCTTTTTAAAACTATGTAAAACCTTTGAAAGCATCAAGTATTTTATAGTCTTTTGAATAAAAAGCTGCCATGCTTATATTGTTCACCAATCAATAAAAATCTCACAATAATGATAAGAAAGTTTCTACAGCTTTAAGCTCAGCTTTGACTGTAAATGTGCAGATAGTTACAGCACTTACTATGAAAACTCAGTGTACCTGCAACTTTTCAGGTGAAACTCAAAATATAGACGGCTTTGTGTTGTATTTAGTAAACAGTTTCTGCATGAAGAGCAAGAACCAAAGCGTCTAGTAGGTGCAAAGAAAGAACAAATGTTGCATATTTCTACGCCTTAATGCTAGACCAAACTTAGTTGAAGTTCAAACAAGCAGCCACACCAGAAACAGATATGACAAGCTTCTGTAACACTAATCACTAATGATACTCACACACCAGGCCAAAAAAAACATTGTTATGGAAGAAGGAAAATGACTTGAACAGACTTACAAGTTACATTGCATTATGAAGAGATCTGGGTATTTGTTCCTCCATTGTTTTTATGCAACAGTGTCTAGTTGCACGTCAGCAAACGTCAAAAGAGTTGCTCTACAAACCTCATTCACACAGCTAAGCTAACAACACCCCCCAAAGGCATGTTATCATCATTATAAGGCTGAAAACTTGAAACTTTCTCATCGTATGGTCACTAGTCTTCTCTCTGAGCTACAACTGTATATATATATATATATATATATATATATATATATAGGAATCATTTAAGAATTTATTTTATAAGTATAAAATTTATTGTTGAAGAGAAATTGCAGACTCAGAGAATTTATAGTTGGGGGAAGCTGCTTGTCGATAATTATTCCAAACCTTCGACTTTATCTAAAAACCTAAACCGGACCTCTGAACAAAGACTCAAAGCTGAGAACAACGCAATAACAAAGGATGAGTTGCATGCAGACATTCAGATGGATGCAAAACCACAAGGACTTTATAAAACGTGACTTTGTGCTTCAGCCTTTGCACACAAAGGAGAAGAGAGAGCAAACATCAGAGGTTGGGGCAGTAGGGCGTTGCATAAACACGCATGAGGGTGTCAATGTTAGTTTGTTGCTTTTAAAAACAGCTGTTGAAGATGTAGAGCTTACTTCAAGAAGATGGCAAACTTGTTTCACAGAAAAGTGAAAGTGAAACAAAATGAACTCATTCACCTGTAAGGCCAAGGTGTGGCTGTGTGTGTGAGGTTTTCCCTGTACTATAAACATGAAATGTTATAAGATTAAATAATGCCAACTCACCTGTTTTTTTCAAGTTCGTTGTGTGTTGACCTGAAAAAAAAAATAAAAAATACAGAAAACATTAGCAGTCAATAAATATTACAGGGGAGCTCTTCACAAACAGAAAGATAAATATGGACTGGATTTTGAGGAAGTTAAAAGCATAGAAAACATTCCTGAGCATTATACTAAAACAAGAAAAGATAAAACATTTGCATTTTTGTCCTGGTGCGTCATGATAAGGTAATAAAGGCAGCCTTCTAATGCAGTAAACACATGAAATAAATGGAATAAAGCAACTTTTTAAAATGTTTTATGAACTGATCAACAGTTAAATATCCTGTTCCTTAAAATTTAAAGTAATAAATAAACATGGCCTCCATGCCCTTTTCTGTCAAGGAACCACAATTTTGCAAACCCCAGATGACAAAGTATTGCTAAGCTGCACAAGCAGGGCCCTCATAACACACTACCGCTGCATAGTTTTAATGCATTAATTTAGGTGTTTTTAAATTCAGATAAGGTTATGAGATAGATCCAAATGAATTAAATAAGATCTGAGCCAAAATGCCCCACTGAACCAACTGATGACAAAACATTTTGGAGTTTAAACAAGGTTCATACAGGAACGAGTAACCCTAATTTAATGCTTTTTAATGCTCTTAGAAATAATTTTAATGCCATCAACATTGACTCAACAATGACTCTCATATATGGCAAAATCCTTAGTCATCTTTACCGTCGACTGGCTGCAGCCATGTCCCAAATTCCTTATTTCAGCCACTTTTGTTGAAATTTGTTGGAAAAGCATTTTCTCTAGCTTTTCCTCCGCCTCGAACTTCTTTTCCGAACATACAGGTTTACGATTAACCGGAAGCATTTCCGCACAAACACGGAACACAAGTTATTTCTGATTTATCAACTGTTTTTTTTCTTAGATCGAAAACTTTTGTATGATCTGGTGAACTGTAAAGTGCCTTGAAATGACATGTATTTTGAATTGGCGCTATAGAAATAAATGAATTGAATTGGTATATCTGACACAATTTTTTTTTTACTTTTTTCTTTTTAAATAAAGCATTTTAAATGCCATGATAATAGCATTTAATGAATTTTAATGCCAATTAAGGCCTTGATAAAAAAAATAATAATTTAATGACTTTTAATGACCCGCAGAAACCCTGTTAAATATAATCTTTAATGATCATCGTAATCCCTTTTATTTTTTTTCGGAAGGTTCACACATTTCTTCTTCTCTTATAATTCTGCTGTGATCCAGCATGGAAAACAGCTGCCAATGCTTGTAGCTTTATTTCCCCTGGTTTTAAGATTTGGATCAGGGTTGTATACAAAAGGAAAATCCAATGAAGGCTCAGATTTGCAAAATGAAAACCAACTCAAGTGAAAGAAAACCCAACATACTAAAGACTTGACATGAGCAAATATCCACATGACATCCAGGCATTCACAGCAGCATCATAAAGCCTCTTACTCAGTAATGCACAACAGAGCTCTGAGGATGCATGTGACATCGAAGGCACTTATGCTTCCACTGAGTACAGTATTAAATCCAAAGTGTGTGAGTGCTGCTGGGCATGCACTGCCGTACGCAGCAGCATCCAGGGCTCAGTCCTGTGTTATTAATGTAAAGTGAATCAGCTGGTCCCTGAGTGTCTTTGTATGGCAACAAACTGAGACCAGACACGGCCTCCTCCTGATTCTTAAACTGCTTTCTTTTAATGTGGTTCAGGTTCTTGGGTACAGCGTGATTTACTCCCCTACATGGTGGCAGTTCGAGACTCTTTAACTATAGAATTTAAATATTTTTCATTTGGATGTAAAGCAACAATTAGGTATAGAGAGAAGGAAAAAAAGTATTGGAAAAAACAAAAATACAACACTGAAATCTTTTTTTTTTACTGTTGGTGTTTACGTTCCAACTGTGAGCTGCAGAGAACCTCAGTCTGTATGGAAGAACTCCAAGAAGAAAGCCTGATCACAGTTTTCCACAAGACATCCAGCAGACATAGCTAAAAAAAAAGGAAGGAGGAGTTCTGACCAGATTAGGCCAAAATTTCATTCCCTAGCCTTTAAGCAAAACTCTAACCTTACATTGTTGCGGGACTTGTGAATTCAAAAACTCCTGAAAATCCACCTAGCCAGGGGCTAATAGATGCATTAGCCTTGAATAAAGAAATGTTACAAACCAATGGAAGGCAGTAATGTGTATGACATAAATCAGTGGCGGCAGACTGAAGCAAAACAAAATTGATTGTGCCAATGAATGTACCTGTATACGTTACTAATTAGAATGTTTTAGCTGGAATACCCTCTATTGCTTTTCTTAAAAAAAAAAAAAAATAGCAAAATTAAAGTATTTTTAACTTCGCGAATGAGACTGATGTCTGTGTGTTCTCCCTATCTGTTTTTAGACATTTGTCAGTTAACTCTGCTCATTGTGAAACAAATCAAGAATCTGCAGAGGGATCCTATAGTTATAATCATGTCTCCTATTGCCGCTCCTATGGACGACAAAGTGGCTAAGGCTTAGATGTTTGGCCTTACTGCTGTAAAACTTGGCTACTACTACCGCTGTGATTGGCTAAAAGCTTGACATGGGGTTCCACTTGGTAAATACCCAATCAGCTGATAGAATTGGACTGAATGTCCCTAACTTTTCTTTCCACAGGAGTCCTTCCAGATGGATACTGTGTAAAATTCAGATTGAACTACACCTACCGATCTGGTTTAAGCCAAATTAGCAAAACTCTAAATGACAAAGAAAACGAACGGTGCATTCTGAAACAAGGCAGGGACAGCACTATGTTTTGGGCGTGCTTTTTGATAGGGAAGCTGGTGGGAGTTCATGGAAGGATTGACCTAAATTCAGGCCAATCCTTGAAACAAACTTGTTTGAGACTGAAACAGACTTGGGCAGACATACCACATAAGACCTGCAGTAACAAAATATGTTACTTTCCCTTCATGCCATGTACCACATCATCTTGGTCTAACATAAAAAATGTATAAAAACATGCATTTATGTTTGGGCCCGATACAATATAAATATGTAAAAATAATGAAGGTAAATGACACGGGAAGCAATATCCCCTTTACAACAGAAAAATACTCCCAAATAGCTCTGTACATCAACACAACAAGACCTTACCATTGTGGCAGAGCAAGAACAGAGTACAGACAACATCTTTGACAAGAAAAATACATTACTCCAGATATGCTGGCCAGAGCTCTTTACCTGTAACTCGGAGTGCCTTGGCAGTTGCACATGACCTCTAAAGGTATTAACTCACATCATCAATATCTCTGCTGCCATGCTTAGAAACGCTCTAGCCTCCAACATCCAGTCACATTCATTGCGATGTGAGTCAAGATGAATTTACCAAATGTAACCAATGTAGATGCCCAGAATTTGCACAAATACTTCTTTTGAAAAGGCAGCAGCTCTCCAGACATGTACATCTGCTTAAGTGTTTCGCAAACAGGAGATGAACACAACCATAATTTTCATAATTTGCGTCAATGTCTGTCACAGTGCCTACGCTTCATCTGGGTTGCTAAGTAACCCACATCCCCTTTGCAGGACAATAAAACCCTGTGTTTACCAAAACTGTGTTTGATTCCAGTCGATTGTTCCTCTTCAGGAATGAAGAATCCAGCACAAATTGTGGAAGCTATTAAGAGAATGCCAAGCAGAGCAGGTCACATTCTGCAAAAATATTTACACTGATAGAAATCTTACGCAAATTAAAAATTATTTTAGAAAACAGGAAATAACTAATGCTGTTATCCGAGTCAGAAATTGAATTATGTAACTTTAACCACTCCCCTGCAACAAGCCAGCCTTCAAGTCCGCCCTGGTCCAAAACCTAATCAGACAGGAACATACAGCTATCTTAGTCTGACCTCCTATTTAAAGATATCGGTCACAGTTAGATTACTTCCTCACAAATATTGTATAATCAGAAACCATTTTCCTGCATCCTGACTCCAATATCTGAATCTCTAGTACATGACAACAGAGTAGCAGAGATTATAAACTGGCTCAAGGCCAGACATTACAGCATCAGGCGTCCTCCTGTAGTCTTGTGGGTGTACATGTATGTGTGCATGTATGCACGTCCGTAGAGTGGGTCAGCGAGATAAAGCATCCCTGCTATAAACGGCAGGCAGGAGAGGACAGAGTCAGATAAGCCTGCAGCTTTTAAGCCTTAACCCGCTACTGAGGAGGCAGCTGCAAACTGGAGCGAGCCGACGATGGTAAAACAAAGTGCTCTCAATGAATTTCAGCTTTAATGTAAACGCTATAAAACATTCCTTAGCATCATCTCTATTAGGACAATTGAACTAACTTAAGAACGTTGCTGCTTTAAGGAAAAAAATAATAACACTATAGATTGAGGTGTGGGTATACTATGATGGTCCATTACAGCCAAAGGTCATCAGTGCAATAAAAATAGATTCCGTGTTATTTATATACAATACAGATGAGTCAGGTCATGGGCAAAGGACATCTTCACTATCCTTCTGTTCGCATGTGCAGAGTGAGTGATCCATCAAGTGTTAAAATGATAACTGCATGAAGGTCGAGATACAAGTTCTCCAAGCAGAGCATTTTATCTGGATGAAGTTTGCCGTGCGATTCACTTGACCTGTCAGAAGTCATGAAATGATGACTTTCTGATGAAGAAAATGCCAGAAAATAAAATTCCTGGCATTATTTTAGTATGAAAACTGTGGAATGCTGAAGACGCAGATAAACTGAGCTAAATCACAACGAGAAGCTTTAGGATGGTGTAAGAGACACTAAAGGCTGGTTTATGCTCAGAAACCAGGTCGCCTGCGTGTGTGTTGCAGTGAAAGCAAATGTTCCCCTGCCCCTTCCACAGACACTCTGGTGCACCTCTCCAAAATTGTAGGTGACCGCAGACAGTGCCGCTTCTGATTGGTCAAATCTACCTCTGCTCTACACAATGCGTATTTCCTGTTTGGTACCTTACCGGCTTGTTTTATTTGTATGATCTCCATTGTGAAAAACGACTCATGAAGATGGACCAGCTAGAAAAGCGCTGCGCGGGAACACTGGGACCCTTTTTCCTCTTGGATCCCCGCTCTTTTTTGCCTTCATGTCCCTCTGTTGTTGTACAAACTTACCCCCACTTCCTCACCGCTTTAGCCGTATATAGACCCACAGCTAGTTTGTGATTGTCCCTCTTGCGTTGTTGCGTGCAATAACATGGCACAGATCACGCTTCAATATTGGGCATAAATCAAAAATATCTGCAACAAGCTCACTGCAGCACACTGCTGTGGGAGGATAACCAGCCCTTAACCATGTAACCAAGGGTATATTTTCCCAACATGGTCAAATCTAGAACATTGTTGGAGGTTTTAAAAAGCCTCCCTTTATGCAATCTCTCAATGTGGAGGCATAGCTGTATACACATTTTCCCCGATTCTAGGCAAATCATCCTAAGCGCCATAAATAGGGCAGCAGACTTTGAGTTTATCTGATCAAGACTGTTGCCATGCAGAACAAGGCAGCGTTCAGTTCTTGTGATGAGTAATGTGCAGCTCCTGTTTGTGGCGCTCTCTTTTATTAATATTAAACAGCTTGTGTGGCTGTCAATGGGCACAGTTGGGTATACAACTATGGGTGGATATTTTTGCTACCAGTTATAGGTTCATCTTTACACTAAAGACGAAGCTTTGGTTGGAATTAGTCAACATAAAAACGTATGGTTTACATCCAATCTTAATGTTCAAAAGGCTCTCCATGAAAATCCCTAGTCCTGCCCCTCTCCCACCTATTACTGCAGATGGCATGTCAGCTAGGGATAAAGAAAAAAAAGGCAACTAATCATTACCCTCACAGTTAAAACATTCAGCTTAATTTTTGTTTGACAGCAAGACTAAGTATTTATTGAAAATGTTTTTTTAACTTGCAAATTCGCTTAAAATCACAAAAGTACAGTGCTTACAACAGCTATTGACTGAAATGAAACAGTTGAGTCATTTCATGTACCTTTATTTAAATTTTTACAAAGATAGACCAATAAGGCTTAATCTGGTTGATAACGTTTTACGTTTTCCTTTGAGGTCGCAACTATAAAAGATAAGAAAGGCTTAATAAAGTCAATTTTCAATCTGACACAAAATGCAGGGCTTAAGAGATTATTTGCATGTGCTTATTTTTTTCCCGTATTTTTTGTTTGTTTGATTTTTATCTGATCAGGGGGAAATTGGCTTGATGACATTTTTTTGCCAACTCATCCGTGGTTGTCTATTTTGTCTAACAAGCATTGTTTAAACTTGGGATTTAAAGATACGTTGCATTCAATCAACAAGCCAGTTGTTAATATCAAGGTACATCAAATAAAAAAGGCATCACAATAAAAACTAATTATGCAGTTTAAAGTCTTTTTTTGTTGCGATGCCCTGGACAGAGCTGGGGAGAGACCAGTATCTCTCAGTCTAATAGGAGCATAGATTACTATACAGCTCCCCGTCCAGCAACTACTACTGAGCACTGCTTAGACAGCTGGCTGAAAGGGGGTTTTCCTTGCTAAGCAAAAAAAAAAAATTTGGTAATTTCTGTTCATGAAAAACAAAATGGAAACAACCCAACACTCCTAAGATGGTAAACCTATTTCAAACTATTCTGCACTCAATAAGCAGATTTACTCTAAAGCTACGTTATTCAAAATGTAGATGCAATTCATGCAACTAAGTAGCTACAAAAATATAAACGAAAATATTATAGCTGTAATCATTTCAACGTTGGTTGCCTGTTTTATAAAACCAGATATGTTTTAGTAAATACCTTTAAAATTTTTACAGAATATTATTGAAACTCAAAATTATAATCATTTCCATAATCAAATACTGCTGTTAGGGCTTTATTTGAAGGATTTATTTAAATACAATTAGAGTCCTCTTTATAGTGAAACAGAAAGTACAGCTGTAAGTCGTTTAACGTGGAAGAGAATTAACACGTCAGGACTCAAATAAAAGAATATAAAAAAACAACAGTACTTTTTTCTTTAATTAAGCCTAAATATTTCACAATTATTACAAATGAATGGGGCAACACTATGCCGTTTCTTGTGTCAGTTTTTTTTAACCTGGATCAGGAAGTGGGTTTATCAATCAGCTGTTGAAACGACTCTTACATCAAAAATGCCTTCTTACATGTTCTAAGCCTCAACACTATGGTTTAAAAATGAATCAAGTATTATGTAAAGAATATATATAAAGCTTTTTCTAGTTCTTTTTAGTCTGGGTGGATTTTAAATGCATTTAAAGGTAAATATTTGTCCACATTCATAAAGCACAATACATTTCTCCAGGAATAAATGACATGACAGAGAGCATATTACCTGTTGTGGTTACTGATGAACTTTTTATTTCGGAATTTCCTCTGCCTCTGGTGGTTTGTGCTCTGGTTTGAAGGGAAGGTCGAAGCATATCCATGTTCGCACTCTGAAAACAAGAGAATCAACGGTGATAAATAACAGCAGATCAATGTGGAAAAGGCAGGCAAGAACCAGCTCTGGGAGGCCATTAAAGACCTTTAAAAGAATAAAGCATATCACCTCTGTCTCTTCTTTCTAAATACTCAGCCGCCTCCAATAACCGTTGGATATTAATAAGCTGGACAGCAGTCATTCTTCCCTGTCTTCTCTTGTCCTGCTCAGCGTGAAATGCTAGCTAAACGATTGCAGGACCGTTTTTTTTCTTCTTTTTTATGGAAGACAGCACTACATCAGCACTAACTGGGTAAATACGACTTAGTATTTATCTTAAATTTAAATGACAATTCATAAAGCCTTATTACCCGAGCTAGCAAGCTGCTACTGATACTAAAAACCCGTAGTTTTGGATTTTTGCTAGAAAAAGAATCCGTACACGTGTATTAAAATAACTGTTTTTCTATGAAACAGCATTTCATTTTGTCTTGTTACAAAAAAAGCATACAAAAAATTTAAAAATATATATCTCAAAGGGGGGTAGGAACCCAGCAAAAAAACGTCTGCTGCTGCTCGTTTCCTCTCTTGTCCTGTTTGTTTACCTAGCTGCTGAGCTGGGAGGCAGGAACTAAGGAGGGGAGGGGAAAGGGCTGCTTTAAACGCGGTGCACTATGGGACATTGAGTATTAAGGTGAATGGGATTGAAACGACTATTTGAGGCTACAAATCAGATTTTTTTTTTCTGGACCATTTCTTAGATTTTTTCAATTCATATAAAAACTAGGCAATGAGAGTTTGTCTATTATTTATTCTGTATTTCTAAATGACCATTAAAAAAACTCCCTAAAACAGACTCCACAAGTCCAAGGATAGAGCCAAACGTGCAATAATCTAAAAAAATAATAGATGCTGAATATATAAATGTTATTGTCTACAAATGAGAGATAGATGCATTAAAATAGGAACAGAATTGTATCTTTAGACATTTAGGGTAGTCACTAAGGTATAAATTGCATTGATAAGTGAAAAAGTATTATAAATCAAAATCTATAGTTTGTATTCTAATATGTATTTTATTAAACTTGAATATATAATTGGTTACTTATGTATGTTCAAATCTAGACTTTAATCAAATGTATCAAATAACTAAACATGAACCCAGTTACTGTTTTTGTATCGCATGGAAGCGTGTTTAGCCTATGAAACTTCTCTAAATGTCCATTTACAAAAGCAATATAAAATCAAAGAGACGTAATTATTACTGTTGTTTTCTCGATTAATTTGTATTTGTAGTGATGTTTAAGAACCGTCTGTCCAACCGAAGATATGACTAAGGTGGCGTTAAAGGAAAAGAACTATAAGTCCCAGACTTCTCCGCGGCAATGGGAGTGTATTCACCGACGGAAGCCATGCCCAGCAACACGTGACGTCAGAGACGAGCACAGGACTGATTGGTGGGGAACTTTGACGGACGAGGAGGGTTTAACAGGCAGCTGACCAACTGCAGAAGTGGTTTGCGCCATGTGGAAAGCAGCGCGGCACGCCCCCAAATAGCAGGAAGCAAACAATTGAGAGAGAGGAGCAGTTTCCAGCGATCTGATGAAGATTCCCACGTTACATGTGAAAAGTGCCCTTCTCATGCGCACGTTGTCAATCTTTCAGCGATAAAAGAAAATCAACTTTTGTAGACACCTGCATAAATGAAAAATCTTCTAAGATCCTCTTAATAAAACAAAAAAAAAAACATTCCCGACTCAATATGACAGCATCAATAGGACATCAATAGGATATATATATATATATATATATATATATATATATATATATATATATATATATATAATCGAAGCCATGGCCTCAATGCATGTAGAGATTTTCCATCTGCAAAAAGTCTCATAACTTATTCATAGTTGTATAAATGGTAACAAAATTGACATTTTTGCACATCTAATAGCTACAGCAATACATGTCAAATAAAATTCACATGCATCTATTGCGTATTTTCTGTTACATATGATCATTTTCTACCACAGAGTCTGCGAGGCAATGACATCATCCTAAACTGAGCCGAAGGACGCCGCAATGTGATCAGATTTTATTACATTTGCACACAGCTGAATCGCAATAAAACCTGCTTTAGGAGGAAAAAAATAAAGATCCTTGTCTTGCCTTTAGGGCAGCAACTACGCTGCCATATAAAAAACAACACGCATGCAGAAGTGTCTAAAAATAAATCAAACTGTTTTTCTCATTTCTAATTGCAATGCTCCAATCGCACGTATTACTCTACTGGAACATATAGAGGGTGCTTTTTGCAGACAGTGAGTTCAATGAACTCGGGCCTTTGTTGTCTGATTTTTTTTTTTTTTTTTTTTTTTTTTTTTTTTTTTTTTTTACAAAGAAGTCTATTTTTTCCTTCTGAAATCCAGAAAAAATGCAAAGGGATCAAAACGCAGCAAGGATGAACTCACTTCCGTCCTTGCGCTCGGAGCTCTCCAGAAACCTCGCAGCCTCCAGCAGGACCTGGACATTTTTCAGGAAAGTGATCTGCTCCATGTGGGATTCTTTGGTGTTGAAGACGTCATTAAAAGCGCAGCTGGACATGTCGAAATCCTGCTGATCCAACAGAGATGCTTCTGAGTCAAAGAAGAACTCCTCACTTTTCAAACTTCGTCTTTGCCTCTCAGTTTTGGCCATTTTTTTCTCTTTTTCTTTCTATCCCTCTGTAGACTTTCAGGGCTTTCTAATGCCGTGCGTGGCGCAGAAACGGTGCGGCTGTAGGAAGCGGCTGGGCTTGCTCTCGTTGGAGGGTTTCTCGTTTCTTTCTTTCTTATTTTATGAATGCAGGGTGTTTAATGTGGCCAGTGTCAGTGGATGCTGGCGCATGGGAAAGAGCAGGAGGGCGGGCCCTCAGTGTTTACGCAGTCTGCAGGGTCCCTGTGCCCGCCTCTCCATATAACCCCAGGAGCTTGAGAAATACATGACTTTGCTTTTCAGACATTTTCTACATTTTTCTCTTCTGGCGGTTCTAGAGCAAATGTACCAGGAGGCCGGGAGGGGGCCAGCGAGTTGTATATATATATATATATATATATATATATATATATATATATATATATATATATATATATATATATATATTATTCTTCAAGGCTGCACTTAAAAAAAAGAATGAAATTGTCCAGAGAGCTATTCTAAACGAAATTTCTTATTGTTTTACACTTGTGTAAATAAAANTTTAGCATATTATTCAAAGACAATATAGGGAATATATATATATATATATATATATATATATATATATATATATATATATTTACTATTCTTCAAGGCTGCACTTAAAAAAAAGAATGAAATTGTCCAGAGAGCTATTCTAAACGAAATTTCTTATTGTTTTACACTTGTGTAAATAAAATGACAAATAAATCTGTCTAAGTCTAAATATATTAAGAGAGCTGCGTAAGGTGAAATTTCCATTCAATTACGTTTCATTAAAATCATATCTCTTCCAACTGAAAATATTTATCTTTGGCTTGAAAAATTTTCATTTGGATGATCGTTAAAATCAAAATAGAACAGCAAAAAGCAACTCAAAAAAAGTTTAGCTATATAAATATCTAAAAGATCGAATAAAGCAAATATTTGGAATATATACACTCATAATTTAGGAATTTTATTGTAATTTGAGTTAAAATGACAGCTTTCTATAAAATCAGAGTTAGAAATCAAGATTATTAAGCTGTAAAAATTTGAGTGTTTTTTTAAGTGTTTTGAAAAAAACTGGGATCCTATTTCAACACCATTGAACCCTTATTATCACCTTATTGTTTTTAAATAATTAGTAAAACTGAATTTTTTAAGAAAAAAATGAAATAGAACCAAAGGACCTATAAGTAACCATGTCTGTTCCAGCGCATATCTTCATTAGATTTTCTTTTAGTATAATGTCTTCAGTACAGGGACCATAACAGGGGACAGGACAGGATCTACAGGGGCACTGGCCCCCGTTGGCCCCTGGCTAGAACCGCCCATAGGCTAACTTGGTTCTATTATGAGTCAGCAGATTTTAAACGTTTGTAAAGTCAAGAGTTACAGCGGATACAATTTTTTAGGCCAATAATTGATCTATAGCAAACAAATAATGCATTAATAAGATATCAGTTCAGTATTTTGCTATCTGGTGATATGCTTGGATGTAGTAAAGCTCTACTTATGAATGTAAATCTGTTGGAGTTGTTCTTGGCACTTAATTCTGAGTGCTAGATTAATGAAAAATATAGGATTGTTTCTCAAAATAATATTCATACAGCACACAAAAGTCAAAAAAACAAAAGTCATTCCTTGTGTTTATTCTAAAGGTATCTGGTTGCTAGAGATTTAATGAAAAAATCTGAATTTAGGATTTTGTGTTCGGAATTTTTTGTTGACATTGTTGTTATAGAGTAGTTGACTGTTTTGTTTCTCAATTTCTCTATTTCTGTTGTGTAGAAGCAAACTTCTAGGGTGTTGTCTTGTATTCTCTTTACTTCTTTTTACCTAGATTCATTTTGACTTTTAATTCCATTTCTCTTGCTTTCTTCATTCCTTTAGCTCCATGTCCAGTGCATCTGATAGAGCCTCAAAGCAATTTCTGCTAAAGTTTTTATTAATGCATAGGCTTAATTCAAGCAAAGAATTGTGAAAGTAAACTTGTAAGACTTGTTCTTGGCATTCAAAAATTTTGAGTTATACACTGATGGTCAGGACTTGTAAAGACGTTTTTTTCCCCAAAAAAGATAATATCAGTACAGCATCTAAAGGCATTTTTTAATCATATAAAACATTCTTCCATATCAGATCCCCACTGCAGTAAAATATTACTCTATATTGCTTTATTTAATTTATCATTTTTTTCTGAGAGGGACTAATGAATATGTAGCACCCTGTATATATGATAATGTCCTTGTGTCTGATCTATAGTAAAAAGTAGTTTAAACCTAAGTCTTTCTATATAAAACCATGTAGGCTATCTACATTTAGTTTCAATATAGTTTTGAGTTCATGTAAACAACATATGGCTTCTTAAATGCGAGATAAGATATATCTGTAAAGCAGGGTGGGAACCGGGTTTTATTGTATATTCCTAAGGGTCATATTTTACAGTATGAGCAGCAGCAGCTGCAGGCTGTTGTTAATACTGATTGAAACGACTCATTTGTGCAGACTGAAGCCATACATTATTATCTCCACTGTGATGTTCTTTCCTTTCCACAATAGTATAAGATCAGAGTTATATGTTGGCAGTTTAAGTTGGTATTTTTATGTTTTTGATCCATTGGTCTTTTAGGATTTCCCCTTCATAGAAAAGACTAAGCCGTGAAAGTGGGGCGACAAAGAGGAGCGGGGAGATCTCCCCGTAGCATCAGATGCACCTGTATGCAATAGAAAAGGTAACTCAGAGGTCCGTTTGTTTTTTTTCTTGATCTCGTGCCTTTTCCAGCAGACCTTTTGATGCACCGGGGTCCGTTTTGCCACAGAGCGTGTTGAGGCAGAGGTCTGTATTAAGTCCTGACAGCCCACCCTAACCACCTCTCCACCCACTCCTCC